AGTAATATCATACGCAGGCTGACCGTCTTCGCTCAGAATCGTTTTTTTTATACAATGATATTATATAATTGAGTTCAAATTTAACACCATCCATTACAGTGACCCACTTGTAACCTACTGTACAGCAGTGCGACACTCACTTGCTCACTTTTTTCATATTATATTTATATTGTTATTACTATGGTAGTCGGTAAGTTGAAATTATTATAAAATTATAACAAAATAACGAAAATTGTTATTCTTGGTTATTTAATAAGTAATTTCCTCCAAATTTGAACATAAAATAATTATAAAAAAAACTGTGTTTTATATTTTTGAGATTTATGACTAATAGGATAATATAATAACTGAATACAATTTTTTTTATCGTTTTAAGTGTTTTTTAATAATTTATAAAATACCATAATATTATAATAATTATACGGATACCTAATATGATTTTTTATAATTTAATACTTAATTCAAAAATCCTTAAATGTGTAATAATAATATGAAATAAATTATTTAGGAGTAACATTATACTTATTAAAATATTTTTATATTTGTTTTGTATTTAAGGAGGAATTATAAATTATTTAAACCAAAAATGTATTTAATTTGTAATTTGTTTAAAAAAAATTTACCTACTTATATTAAATATTATAATGTATTATCTACTGCAATTTGAAATCTAAAACAATGCAATATTGAAATGTATTTAAAATAAATATAATTTTTTTTTACTTGGTTGGCGGGGGGGGGGAGGGAGGGCTATAACACAGAAAAGTATATAATAATTTCTTAATATTATTTTAACAATATTTTACAATAAACTATAAAAAAAATTATAATTATTTTTAGATGCCTAATTCACCAAATGGATGGGAAATAATAACAAATGACTATAATTAATGAGTTATGGAATTTTCCACAATGTGTAGGTGCCATTGACGGTAAACACATCTTAATGCAAGCACCTTTTAATAGTGGCACTGAATACTTCAATTACAAGGGGACATTTAGTGTTGTTGTACTTGCAGTAGTGGACGCACATTATTGTTTTATTTTTGCAAGTGTTGGGTGTCAAGGTAGGATATCAGATGGAGGAGTATTTAATAATTCCATCTTGGCAAAAAAAATTTACGATGAATCTTTAAACCTACCATCTCCAAAAGCACTTCCAGGACAACAAGAAAAATCTTCATATGTTTTTGTCTGCGATGATGCTTTTCCATTGAAGGAAAATTTAATGAAACCTTTTCCCGGGACTCATTTAAGAGGTTCACCACAGCGATCTTTTAATTATCGTTTATCAAGGGCACAACGTGTCGTTGAAAATACTTTTGGCATAATGGCTTCGGTTTTTCGAGTCTTAAGAAAACCGTTATTACTACAACCAGAAAAAATAAATACTATTGTTTTGGCTTGCGTCCATTTGCATAATTTTTTAAGACGGAGTGAGTCGTCAAAAAATTTATATTGTCCACCAGATATTTTTGATACCGAAGATTTTTAAAATGGAACTTTAAAAAAAAGGAACATGGAGAAGTGATTCGTCGGAAACCACGTCATTTTTACGATTAAAGAAATGTGGACGAAAATCAGCAGCAGCTGTACACGAAACTCGTGAACGATTTGCTCATTATTTTTCAACTACAGGGCGTGTACATTGGCAAGATGAATTTGAATAAATTTTATTTAATTACCTACTTCTATTCTTAATTTGTATTTAGTGAAGTATTGTCTATTATCTATTTTTTTATTAAATATTAACTAATAATTACTATCAATTCATTGTTTTTTAAATAATTATTTAAATAAAGTTGTTATTACCTGTGCTTCATAAGTGTCTCTAGTATTTTTAGGTTTGTTTCTATCCGACAAAAAACTTAATGGCCTATACAAATACCACGCACTTGTATAACTATCCTCAGTTCCAGCTCCAGATTTTTTAGTTTTTACTTTATGTTGTTCCCTACGAAACTGGGACTGTACCGTCTTCCATTTTTTGTCGACTTCTTGCTGCGAAACACCTAAGATCTTAGCAATTTCATTTATTGAATCCGTCCTTCGGATCCGATTTTTGTATAGGTTGTGAGCTGGATTCCAAATATTCTCACTCTGCTGTACTAAATCTATAAGCTTGAGAATTTCATCTTGATTCCAGACTTTTTCGGTGGACATTTTAAATAAGTAGATTAACACAACACGTTCACACCGTGGAAAAATACGAGTGACGACTGACGATTGAATTGGAAATTCAATGCACGCAAATATAAAATAAACATTATAAACATAGATTTATTATTAAAATAATTTGAAAGATCGTTCTTCAATTTTGGATTTCCCTGTACGAATAAAATATGTGAAAGTGGCACGAAATTGAGCTAAATTTAGTAATAGGTACGTACGTATAAATGTAGTTACAAAACGTTAAATAATTCTCCACTACAGCAATAATATAAATATTTTTACTATTATATTTTTCTGAGTGGAACGATGAATGTATTTAATATTATTATTATTAATTTCTAAATACTTAAACTTCGAATGTGCAATACGTAGAACAAATACGTACTACTTGAAATAATGTACTTATAGTATATACCTACCCAATTAATTCGATATAATACTATTTTACTTATATTTTAAATAAAACAATAATAATTCAGCGTTCACCTATACTTAAAGCAGGCTTATAGGTAAGCTTGATCAATAACCAGTCATTGTTGTTAAACTTTTTAAATGGTAATTATTTATTCAAAAATACTTATTCATTTAAAGATAAAATAAACATTTTATATTTTTTATGTATAAATTATAATTTATGAATAATTTCAAATTTGTTGTCGAACACGTACACACTGAAGACAGTGTTGCCAAACATTTTCTTTGATGTTCGTTCAAATACCGCCTGTTGAGCGAACATTTGAATGTTGTACGTGCACACATAAGAAACACGTACAGACTAGGTGAAACATTCTCAACGAACATGTTCGACAACAATGTTCGCCCTAGTGTGGACCCGGATTTAGTCTCGTTCAGTATACGCTGAAGTGTTCGGTCATCTATTTATAATATTCCAAACATAATAGTATATTGTATACGTAATTCAAATAATAATAATATAATAATTAGACGGTATGTTGAAAAAAACCACGGAAGGTATTGCTCTGGGGGCCGACGCACTGTGGGGCGACAACTGAAATATCTCGGACATTTTACTAAAATGTGAATTATTAATTTTTGTATTAGGTATGGTTGAAATCCGTCCTCAAGTAGTTGATAGATTTAACTTGCCCAAATTTTTCCGATGTAAATATAATTAATGAATTAATTATTAAAGCCATGATATTTGTTATGTTTCTAAAACCTTTAATTGTTATTGATAAATGTACTAAATGTTTAAATATCTGCAGTCAGTAAATTCTTAATGAGTTAAAATATTTTAAGATACAGATAAGTATAATGAGGTATAAATGATATACTTAAACATATTAAATTTAATTTACTTATATTGTAATGGTTAATTATAAAAAGGTGGGTGTCGCTCTGCTGTACAATAGGTTACAAGTGGGTCACTGTATAATATATGATATTAAATTTGAATTCAACGATATAATATCATTGTATAAGAAAAACGATTCTGAGCGGAGACAGTATGTCAGTCTAGGTATAAGACATATTATATACATATCTATGGTATTAAACAAAAAGTTGACCTATAATAGGTAGGTACCTATAATAAATTCCAAATTAATCATATCAGTATATCACAATATCCATTAGGTACTTATAACGCATTATACATCAGCAAAAACCGTGATACTATCATAGATATATAAAAGTACACTTTAGAAGTTTCAAGTACCCACGAACAGAGCCGTGCCGTGGGGGGGGGGGGGCCTAGGGGGCATATGCCCCGGGCGCATGGTTTAAAGGGGCGCCAAACATTTTTTTTTATAATATTTTAAACTTTACATAAATAAAATATATGAGAAAGATTATTGTTTTACAATTATTTTGGACCATTACAAATTTTTTCTGAACAAATTTCTGACTATGTTTGAGGAGTAACAATTAGTCAACCAAACGTTTTATTCTTGTTATATTATTGGCTTTATAATAAATTATCGTATTCTTTATCTCAAAATCGACTGCACGTCGAGCACGCGAAGTGCGATAAGCGTTAGTAAATAAAAACCAGATACAAATTATTGCCTATTGGTATTAACTTTTAAAAATTAAATAAAAAAAATTAAAAATAAAAAAAATTCAAAATACTTTTCTATTATTTTTGATTCCACCCCGGATGTTTCTCGTGAAGATCAACTCTGTGAAATTATAAGATATGTTAGAGAAGTTAATAACGAGTTTTTCATTGAAGAAAGTTTCGTAGATTTTATTTATACCAATGAAAAGACTGGACTTGGAATAGCTTCTGATGTATTACAAATGTTGGAGAAAGATGGACTTAGTTTTAAGAATTGTCGTGGACAGGGCTATGATAACGGCGCAAACATGGCGGGAAAATATCAAGGTGTACAAGCTAGATTAAAAGAGATTAATGAACATGCTCAGTTTGTCCCTTGTGCTGCACACAGCCTTAATTTAATCGGCGTACATGCTGCTAGTGTATCAGTAAAAATGATTTCGTTTTTCAGTATTGTACAAAATATATTTAACTATTTTTCTGGATCAACAAGTCGCTGGGAAGTACTAATGCGGTGTTTGAAAATAACTTTAAAAACGCACAGTGACACACGCTGGGCATCTAAATATAATGCAGTTCATTCGTTGTATTGTCAATTTGGCGGTGTGATAAAACTATAAAAGCTTTACGTGACATATCTACCAATCCAATTTTTGGCGATGGGGTTGCTAATGCAGAAAGTATATTGAAACAGTTTGATTTGGAATTTGTTTATTTTTTAGTCATGTGGGATAAAATATTGAATCAAATATATCGTGTAAATAAATTATTACAAAGCTCAAATATTTCAATAGATCAGGCTTCAAAAATGATAAATTGTTTAAATGTTTCTCTCCAAGAAATGCGTGATAGTGGAAATGAACAAATTAAAACTGAAGCTATTAGTATTTGTGATAAAGTTGGAATAAAATCTGAATTAAAAATCAAAAGGACAATAAAAAGGAAAGTTATTAGTGGAGAAAATTCATCGGGTGAAGATATTTCTGCAGATCAATTTTTAACATTGGAATACTACAAAGTTCTTGATAATATGATGGCTCAAATGAAATGGAGGTTTGAACAATTATCAAATATTGCTGATGATTTTCAATTCCATTCTGCTCATTCATTATCTGTTACACCAGTTGAAAAATTGAAAAAATATGCAGCTGATTTAGCTATCAAATACAACGAAGATATTGACCAGGAAATAATTAACGAAATCAAATTTTTTAAATATCAAGTAAAAGCAATTTTACCAGACTTAAACGCAACTGCTTTAAATATTTCAAACGCAATTAAAAAATATGAACTTGATTCAACTTGTCCAAACTTAATGACTGCATATAGATTGTTTCTTACCATGCCTGTTACCGTCGCTTCCGGGGAACGCTCTTTTAGTAAATTGAAACTAACTAAGACGTATTTACGGTCAACCAAAACAGATTAACCAATTCTGCATTATTATCAATTGAGCATGAAATAACAAAAAGCACTGATTTTGAAGACGTCATTGAAGATTTTGCTTCAATAAAGTCCAGAAAAATTAAGTTTTAACTATATGATACTTATATATGATACGCTCTTATGATACGTTTGTAAATATAACATGTATATATAATATAATTTGTGATTTTTATCATTTTTAATTATTTAATACGGTATAAATTAATAAATTATACCTAACTCTTTTGTTTAATAATTACTATTACAATTAACTTTAGTTTTTTGTCAAATTAATGTTCAAAATACGTTGTAAAAAAAAATTAAATTAAATTAAATAGGAATGAAACGCATTATGATTAATGATAAATAAAATAGGGGGCGAATATTTTTAATTTTGCCCCGGGCGCCAAATCGTAACGGCACGGCTCTGACCACGAATAATATTATTCAGTCACAACAAAATAACTAAAATAGTTATTCTAGGTTTTAGATTCTGAGCGGAGCGATGAATGTATTGGTTTTACAATGATGTGTGTTTTTATATTTTTATATTTTTATATTTTTATATTTTTGTGTCTGTCATCACGTTTTGGGACAGTAAAAGTGCTTCGATTTTCTTCAATAGTACCTTTTCTGATAGGAAAGTGAATCTAGTTGGTACTTTGGGGGGTCAAAAGTAAACAATTTCCAGTAGTTTTCACAAGCGCCGGGAAAAACAACATAAAAATTAAGGAAAAACGGGAATTTTTACGCAAAATCGATTTTCCAAAAAATCGAATTTGGTTTTTGGTGTAACTTTAAAACAAATGACCGTAGATACATGAAATTTTCACTGGTTGTTTATATTTGCATTTTCTATACACGATAACATCATCAAAATATTTTGATTTATTTTGAACTGTTTAGGGACATTTTCATTTTTCATTTTTTTTTAGTTTTTTTTCTAGAAATATCAATAAAATTTTATTTGTTGGTTGCGAAAGCTTGAAAATTTAATAGAAGGCTCCTAATATGTTGTTTTAAAGGCAGATAAAAAATTTTAAAAATCCTTAGTCACAATTTTTTTTATAAGCATTTAAAGTTCAAAAATTTACAAAATATGGAAAAATCACGAAAATTAGCAAATTATTTTGAGTTAAGAATTCGTAAAAATTTTTCTTTTTAAATCTAAGATTTGAAAATGAAACACAAGATTCCTTATAAGATTATCTACCTTTATCAATAAAAAAATCTCTACCGGACAGTCAAGTTAAATTTTTATGAGCGTTTGAAATTCAAATTTTTACAACATTGGATATTCACTCGATTACTCATGTATCGATTTCCTTATTTTGTTGCAATTCAAAAACGAACAACTGTAGATACATGAAAATTGCACTCAATGTTTAAATTAGCATTTTCTATACACCATACAATTTTGAAAATATTTTGACTCTTTTTGAGATGTTTATGGACATTTACAGCTTTCAATTTTTTTTAGTTTTTTTTCTATAAATATCAATAAAGTTTTATCTGTTGGGCCAAAAAGTGTAAAAATTTAATACAAGACTCTTGATATTATATTGTTATAATATCAGTTGAAAAACATTGAAAATACATAGGCACAATTTTTTTTTATAAGCATTTAAAGTTGGAATTTTGACAAAATGTATCAAAATCTCGAAAATTATCAATCATTGTAATTAATAAATTATAAAATGTTCAGTTTTTATAGCTAAAGATTGAAAATTTAAAACAAAGGTTCTCATAAATAGTTCATACTGTAACCAAAAAATCTAAAAAATATATGAACACAGTTATTTTTCTTACAGACATTTTAAATTCAAATTTGGACGAAATTACATTATTAAGAAACCTAGAATAACTATTTTAGTTATTTTGTTGTGATTGAATAGGTAATATTATGCGTGGGTACTTGAAACTTCTAAAGTGTACTATTATATATCTATGATAGTATCACGGTTTTTGTTGATGTATAACGTGTTATAAGTATCTAATGGATATTATGATATGATTAATTTGGAATTTATTATAGGTACCTATTATAGGTCAATTTTTTGTTTAATACCATAGATATGTATATAATATGTCTTATACATAGACTGACATACCGTCACCGCTCAGAATCGTTTTTCTTATACAATGATATTATATCATTGAATTCAAATTTAATACCATCCATTATACAGTGACCCACTTGTAACCTACTGTACAGCAGAGCGACACCCACTTGCCCACCTTTTTTAATATGTAATTTCGTCCAAATTGGAATTTAAAATGTCTGTAAAAAATAACTGTGTTCATATATTTTTTAGATTTTTTGGTTACAGTATGAACTATTTATGAGAAGCTTTGTTTTAAATTTGCAATCCTTAGCTACAAAAAATGAACATTTTATAATTTATTAATTACAATGACTGATCATTTTCGATATATTGATAAATGTTGTCAAAATTCGATCTTTAAATGCTTATAAAAAAAATTTTGAATATGTATTTTTAATGTTTTTCAACTGATCTTGTAACAATATATCAGAAGCCTTGTATTACATTTTTACACTTTTTGGCCCAACAGATAAAACTTTATTGATATTTATAGAAAAAAAAACTAAAAAAAATTGAAAGCGGTAAATGTCCGTAAATAGCTCAAAAAGAGTCAAAATATTTTCAAAATTGTATGGTGTATAGGAAATGCTAATTTAAACATTCAGTTTTTTTTTTCGTATATCTACAGTTATTCGTTTTTGAATTATAACAAAATAAGGAAATCGCTACATGAGAAATCGAGTGAATATCCAATGTTGTAAAAATTTGAATTTCAAACGCTCATAAAAATTTTATTTGACTTTCTTATGGACATTTTTTTTTTTTGATAAATGTAGATAATCTTATAAGGAATCTTGTATTACATTTTCAAATCTTAGATTTAAAAATAAAAATTTTTACGAATTCTTAACTCAAAATAATTTGCTAATTTTCGTGATTTTTCCGTATTTTGTCAATTTTTGAACTTTAAATGCTTATAAAAAAAAATTGTGACTAAGGATTTTTAATAATTTTCATCTGCCTTTGAAACAATATACTAAGAACCTTCTATTAAATTGTCAAGCATTCGCAACCAACAAATAAATTTTTATTGATATTTTTAGAAAAAGAACTAAAAAAAAATGGAAAATGAAAATGTGCCTAAACAGTTCAAAATAAATCAAAATATTTTGATAATGTTATCGTGTATATAAAATGCAAATATAAACAACCAGTGAAAATTTCATGTATCTACGGTCATTTGTTTTAAAGTTACACCAAAAACCAAAATCTATTTTTTTTAAAACCGATTTTGCGTAAAAATTCCCGTTTTTCCTTAATTTTTCTTTTGTTTTTCTTGGCGCTTTTGAAAATGACTGGCTTTTTACTTTTGACCCCCCAAAGTACCAACTAGATTCACTTTCCTATCAGAAAAGCTACTGTTGAAGAAAATCCAAGCACTTTTACTGTCCTAAAACGTGATGACAGACACAAAAATAAAAAATTAAAATAAAAAAGGTGGGCAAGTGGGTGTCGCTCTGCTGTACTGTAGGTTACAAGTGGGTCACTGTATAATGGATGGTATTAAATTTGAATTCAATGATATAATATCATTGTATAAGAAAAACGATTCTGAGCGGTGACGGTATGTCAGTCTATGTATAAGACATATTATATACATATCTATGGTATTAAACAAAAAAATGACCTATAATAAATTCCAAATTAATCATATCACAATATCCATTAGATACTTATAACAGTTATAACGCGTTATACATCAACAAAAACCGTGATACTGTCATAGATATATAATAGTACACTTTAGAAGTTTCAAGTACCCACGAATAATATTATTCAATCACAACAAAATAACTAAAATCGTAATTCTTGGTTTAAATATGAAATTTTGTCTAAATTTGAAATTAAAATGTCTGTAAAAAATAAGTGTGTTTATATATTTTTTAGATTTTTTGGTTACAGTATGAATTGTTTAAGAGAATATTTGTTTTAAATTTTCAACTCTTAGTTATAAAAACTGAACATTTTATAATTTTTTAATTCCAACGATTGATAATTTTTGAGATTTTGATAAATTTTGTCAAAATTCCAACTTTAAATGCTTATAAAAAAAAATCGTGCCTATGTATTTTTAATATTTTTCAACTGATATTGTAACAATATATCAGGAGCCTTGTATTAAATTTTTACACTTTTTGGCCCAACAGATAAAACTTTATTGATATTTATAGAAAAAAAAACTAAAAAAATTGAAAGCTGTAAATGTCCATAAACAGCTCAAAAAGAGTCAAAATCTTTTCAAAATTGTATGGTGTATAGGAAATGCTAATATAAACATTCAGTGAAATTTTCATGTATCTACAGTTATTCGTTTTTGAATTACAACAAAATAAGGAAATCGCTACATGAGAAATCGAGTGAAAATCCAATGTTGTAAAAATTTGAATTTCAAACGCTCATAAAAATTTAATTTGACTGTCCGGTAGAGATTTTTTATTGATAAAGGTAGATAATCTTATAAGGAATCTTGTGTTTCATTTTCAAATCTTAGATTTAAAAAGAAAAATTTTTACGAATTCTTAACTCAAAATAATTTGCTAATTTTCGTGATTTTTCCATATTTTGTCAATTTTTGAACTTTAAATGCTTATAAAAAAAAATTGTGACTAAGGATTTTTAATATTTTTCATCTGCCTTTGAAACAACATATTAGGAGCCTTCTATTAAATTTTCAAGCTTTCGCAACCAACAAATAAAATTTTATTGATATTTCTAGAAAAAAAACTAAAAAAAATGAAAAATGAAAATGTCCCTAAACAGTTCAAATAAATCAAAATATTTGAAAATGTTATCGTGTATAGAAAATGCAAATATAAACAACCAGTGAAAATTTCATGTATCTACGGTCATTTGTTTTAAAGTTACACCAAAAACCAAATTCGATTTTTTGGATAATCGA